CATGTAACATATGTACACAAATTAACATATACAAATAATGCGTACTTTTATTATTGTTTATATGCACATAAATATATATATGTATAAGAATATTTGGGACCACTTGGTCTTTCCTTATCGGGTTATGGCAAGCAAGAGGTGTACAAAATCAAACCCAGAAATCTGACTGAACTGAAGCAGTCCATTAAATAAATATTTGAGGCAATTCCGACTTCAACCCTTCAGCCCGCATTAATTTTCTAATTAGGTGTCGCATATGCGTGGCTGGGTATGGAGGAATAATTAATTGTATAAAATAACAAAAACAAACGTATGTGTGTGAGTTTGCATCTCTCATTAACACATGGGTATTCGGAATTGATTCACTATATATCTATACTGCTCACTCTCATGTCTTTTTCTGGGTCATTGCTGGCCATAAATCCGTCATAGCTGAAAATTGTCAGTTATGACTAAAACGCTATCAGAAGTGAAAAATTCTTTTGCGCAGTAGATAATATAATTTTTATTTCTTTAATAAATTTTAAACTTTTAATCAAAATTAGTTATAATAATATACTTATATATAAAAAGGAATGCAACAAAAAATATCTCTCTATTATATATAAAAGTTTTCTGCTGCTGTCGAGAATCAACTAACATAAGAGCGAGCTAGCTCGCGCTCGGCGGGGGGCGGACGTAGGCGAGCGAGCGAAGCGAGCGTCCCGGAGCGCAGCAGAGAGCGCCTAGTAATAAAATATGAAAATATAAAAATAAATTTTCACTTGATGCCATCTCCTGTACGTCTTTTTCCAATCAGTGGATAGTTCTGAATTTAAAAATACAAATGTAAATTAACAGTACTGACATATAAAATGTGAGTGTATTGGTGAACCCATTAGCAGTTTCTTGTAGGGTATGTTTAGGCCAATTATGGGATGTAAGCAAATTGTCAACTGACATTTAGGGCTGGTAAAATACGTCGTCTAATAATATCGATTAAACTAGAACAGGTACCGATTATAATGAGTGGAATGTAAGTTTTCAAGGGGTTTTCAGCGAAAACTGTGTTTTCGTTTGACAGATTTTGTATGTATAATATAAATTTTATTTCTCCAATTTGTACATTATCTTCAGTCAGGTATAGGTATAGCGGATATTATGGCTTTATGGTAACTGAAGTAGGAAACAGTTTAAATGGTGAAGATTTCTAAAGATTAGAGCATAAAATGTTGTTCCTGATTTAGTCGTGGCAATTTTCCGGTCGTTATTCATATCTAAACCGAATTTTTCACAAAGGAGGTGAAGTAGTGGCAAAGACGCATCCTAGTCAAATTTACATTAAAGTCACCACCGAGAATCAATGGTATGTGATCATCACCCCTGCCAAATAGATCAGCACCACCATGAGTGTACATAACCAACAAACTCTCTTTGAAATACCTGATTCCTCAACTTTTTTTTTGGTTAGGAGATATGTAGATCGCTGCGATAACAATTTCTTTTCGATTAAATATTTTACATTTATATATTGTGACGAACACGGATGATAGAACAAAATCGAATCAACGATAAACTACCAGAAGCAACTAGTTAGCGAATTCGTAGTTGCCAGAATGATCTAGAAGCAATGTTTTGTTACAGATTTACTATATAAGGGCTGCCGGATTGTGCAGCAAACACAGTTCTAGTTAGAGTGTTGTCGTGATAAGAACAATTGAGACATAAGCAAGAAGTTGTAAGCTCGAATAACAAGCAATAAGTGTTAAGTTGTTGGAATTAGAAATAAAGATAAGTGTGTAGCCATTAAATTGGGACTTTTATTTAACAATCCAATGATCGAACTCAAGAGTGAGTTGATTGATTGATTAATTTTTGAGGTATGCACCGCGACCTACGGTCTATTGTGCCCTCCCCTAAGTCATATCGTGTCATCTAGGCCCAACATATTGATAAATTCCTAAATTCTGCTGGGGGCTAGTGAGGCGATACAATCCCTGTGTGGAAACATGGATCCCAGGGCCTTGATATTGCGTCTGCAGACTGCTGTACAGTTCATCAGCAGATGTTCGGGGGTTTCCGGCTCTATGTCGCAGAACCGGCAGTTTGCAGAAGAGGCTATGCCCATGTTAAAGAGATGCTTCTTGAGCCTGCAGTGGCCGGTGTAGAACGCTACCAGTAGCCGGAATTTGTTTCTTGGGAGATTAATTATGGCATTGAACATTAGCAGTCTGGCATGGTGCATGCCCTGGAGTTGTTGCCAGTGTATCTCCATGTCTGCTCTTTCCTCCCTGCGGAGGAGCTCTTTGATGGTATGTGGACCAACCGCTAAGTATGGTTCCGGCCCTACCATTCTTGTAGAGGCTGCAGAGCGAGCTAAGTCGTCGGCTAGTTCGTTCCCAGCTATACCCCTATGGCCAGGCACCCAAATAAGGTGCACTCGGTTGTGCTCAGATAGGCTGTTCAGCCGTTCTATACACTCCATCACTAGGAGAGATCTGACCTCATAGGCATTGATCGCTCTTAGTGCCGACTGACTATCGCTGAGTATAGCGATACTTTTATTGCGATAGTTGCGCTGGAGATTTATTCCTACACACCGACTTATAGCATAGACCTCGGCTTGGAATATGCTAGGGAAACTTCCCATGGGAATGGAGAGTTTGGTGCTTGGCTCAGCGACCCCTGCACCAATCCCCTCCTCCGTTTTCGACCCATCGGTGTACCACTTGATGGTGCAACCCTTTAGCAGCAGGTCTAGTTAAGAGTCCTTTCACTCAGATTTGCTGCCAAGGGTTACTTGGAACTTCCTGCTGAAGTTTACTACTTTGGTAATGCTATCCCTTGGGAGAAGGGCTAGTGGTATTTCCTCACTTAGCTCTTTCATCTGCTGGGATGAGATTACCTTCCCTTTGCCAGCTCCCTCTGCTGTCATTTGGAGCAGAGTTCGTTTGGCTGTCTGTTTGATTACCAGGTGTAGCGGTGAAAGTTCTAGCATGACCTCCAGTGCTGCGGTCGGACACGTTCGCATTGCTCCCGACGCGCAGATGCAGGCAAGTCTTTGCAGCTTCGACAGTTTAAGTCCTACCGAAGTCTGCGATGCTTTCGAACCCCACGATACCGCTCCATACGTGATAATCGGTCTCACAATCATGGTGTACATCCACCTGATAGTCCTTGGGGAGCACCCCCAGGATTTTCCAGCAAGTCGGTTGCACACCATGAGTGCTTTTGTAGCTTTGGTTAGGGTCTGGTCCACGTGCTGATTCCATCGCAGTGTGGAATCCAGCGTGAGTCCCAGATACTTGACCGTGCTGGACATCTCAACCAATCTGCCGTCCAGGGATATATTCCTGAGGCCCGGCAGTGACCTCCGTCTGGTGAAGGGAATGATTGTAGTTTTAGCAGGGTTGATGTTTAAGCCAACCGCCCTACACCACCCCTTTGCCAGTCCCAATCCCCTCTGAACGATATCGCAGAGTGTGTCTTCAAATTTTCCACTAGCTAAGATAACAATGTCATCCGCATATCCCTGACAGCGGATTCCATTGCTAGTCAGCCGCTCAAGGAGGTCGTCTACAACTAGGCTCCAAAGTAGGGGGGATAGCACTCCGCCCTGTGGGCAACCTCTTGTTGTTCCCAGACGAATTTTAGTTTCTCCTACTGCGGCTTCCGCCACCCTAGTGCGCAGTACGGCTTCAATCCATCTGCGCACTGGTGCTGCCACACTCCCTTTCTCCAGTGCTCTTGACACGCTCTCGTGAGACGTGTTGTCAAAAGCACCTTCTATGTCGAGGAAGGCGCATAGCGTCACCTTGCCTCCATCTAACGAATTCTGTATCTCTGAGGTTAGCTGGTACAGAGCAGTGTTAGTTGATCTACCTGCTCTGTAAGCATGTTGCTTCTCATGAAGCGGTGAAGCTTTCAGCACCTTCGATCGTAATTCGTGGTCTATGATCTTTTCCATACTTTTGAGTAGGAAGGAAGTAAGACTTATTGGTGGTAAGTGAGTTACAGGTAGACGATTTATCGAGAAATCCGTTACAATATCTTATATCGCCAATTTCAGTCAAACTCACTGTATGTGCGGTGGGATTTATTGCACTTATATGAAAATGTGGAGTATCGCACTCATTATAATAGACCGCAAAATCACATGCACATTTTCTCGAGATTGTGTCTCTGGAGGTTTCTCTGCAGAGATTTTAGGCATCGCGTAAACAGTAACATAAAAGTTCGATCAATGAATGTTAGTTACAAATTGAATGGAATGCGTGTTTGTATGCTCCGTTCCCGTAGTCTGTCTGTCACGTACGCAGACACGTATTCCAATTATATACCGTGAGGACACGTACACAAAATGTAAATATACAATTGCATATATGTAAATAAGAAACAATTAAATTACTCTTAATATGTATAATAATATAATGAGGATACTACCGTTATATATATTTTTTTTAAAGATTTTATAAAAGTAAAACTATCACTTTAAACAAAATATTACAACCAAATTCAGTTTACACTTTTACCGAAATATATAGTATTCCCAAATCGTTGGGCTGCCACCAGAGGGACCAACTGATGTATTTTCATCTTCGTAAATATTTAAATTTTTTGAAAACTTAATTTTAAGAAAACAACTAAGTCAGGAGCGGAGCCTCATCGAGGATACAGAGCACGAAAAACGGCTTAGAAATCTGCTGTAAACCAATACCCGATAGTATTCGAAATCTACAATATACGCAATATGTATTTATACTGTAACGGATTTCTCGATAAATCGTCTACCTGTAACTCACTCTTGAGTTCGATCACTGGATTGTTAAATAAAAGTCCCAATTTAATGGCTACACACTTATCTCTTTTTCTAATTCCAACAACTTAACACTTATTGCTCGTTATTCGAGCTTACAATTTCTTGCTTATAGCTTAATTGTTCTTATCACGACAACACTCCAACTAGAACTGTGTTTGCTGCACAATCCGGCAGCCCTTATATAGTAAATCTGTAACAAAACATTGCTTCTAGAACATTCTGGCAACTACGAATTCGCTAACTAGTTGCTTCTGGCAGTTTATCGTTGATTCGATTTTGTTCTATCATCCGTGTTCGTCACAATACATATACAAGTTTTTATAAAATTAATATATTCACAGAGATGAAAATAAATCAGTTGGTCCCTCTGGTGGCAGCCCATCGATTTCGGAATACTATAGGAAAATTAATTGTAACCACGGCAGCTATAAAAACTTCAATTTGGATAACTTGGTGGAGGAGAGAACAGGTTAGTGAGACAAAACAGAAATTTGAAACGTTTGTATTTAATTTTATTAACTAATTTATTTCAGTAAATATTTTATTAACTAATTTATTACGTAAAAAGTAAATGTATCAGTAAACATTCAAAATGAATTTTTGGCGGAATTCCGGGCGGCGAATTGGAGAATAGCAACAGTTTTGATTTGGTAAGGACTTCAATTTGTATCGTTGTTTTGATAAAATTTATATACTGTAAATAATAAAATAACTAAAAACGAAAATTTAAAAATTAACTGATGAAATAAATAAAGGGTGGGCTTTAGTTTAGCATCCTCCGATTTCAGGGTTTAGAGGGGTATGGTTGGATAGAGGAGATTCTCCAGATCACGAAGTGCGGAAAGAAGTTTGACGCGATTAAATTATGAACACCCCGGTGTTGGACCGACCAGGGTTATTTTTTTGGAGCGCGGCCGAAGGCCGCCAGTGCAGAAAGAAATTTAACGCGATTGAATTATGAACACCCCGGTGTTGGACTGACCAGGGTTATTTTTTTGAAGCGCGGCCGAAGGCCGCCAGTGCAGAAAGGAAATTGACGCGATTGAATTATCAACACCCCGGTGTTCGACCGACCAGGGTTATTTTTTTGAAGCGCGGCCGCCGGAAACTTATAGTTTTCGAGATATTTGCATTTTAAGTTGAAAATTTCACAAATTTCATTTTACAATTTCTCGATTTATGGTTATCTTTTCTTTTATATTATGCACTTATTATACACTAACTTTTCACTTAAATATTTAAGTATTTGCTTTAAATAAGCATTTAATTTTTACACAATTTTCGTAATATGAACAATAACAAATGGGTTCCATGTTGTCAGATAATAAGTGTTGCCATATCTATTATATATATATATATATATAAATATATATTTTGAAAGCGAATTAAAATGAACAATAAAAGAGGATTATACTCCAAATATTATACATGAACTATAATTTTGTTCATTCCCTTCTATTGATAAATTATGGTATTGGATTGGCCAGGGTTATTTTTTTAAAGCGCGGCCGAAGGCCGCCAGTGCGGAAAGAAGTTTGACGCGATTGAATTATGAACACCCCGGTGTTGGACCGACCAAGGTTATTTTTTTAGAGCGCGGCCGAAGGCCGCCAGTGCCGAAAGAAATTTGACGCGATTGAATTATGAACACCCCGGTGTTGGACCGACCAAGATTAGTTTTTTGAAGCGCGGCCGAAAGCCGCCAGTGCAAATAAAAAATCTTAACAAAAAAAAAGCAATGTTAAAGAGAATATACCACTCTCTATAAACTTCAATTTTTATTAAGGATAATTATAATAACAGTGAAGATTTTGAAAATTTGATATTCATATATGGCGTAAAAATATAGTAAATCATCATCATGATCCATTTGTGAAATTATCAGATGCAATAAAATATACGTTTAAGCCATAAAACCTTTTTCTTTTATTAAAATAGAATATTAAGTTCAAAATATTTTGTAGAGGGTGATTGGGTTTTTTATTTATTTTGATTGCTTTCATCCGTTTGGATTTGGCAACACTTATTATCTGACAACATGGAACCCAATTGTTATTGTTCATATTACGAAAATTGTGTAAAAATTAAATGCTTATTTAAAGCAAATACTTAAATATTTAATATAAAATAAATATGTGGAAACATTGTAGTGAAGTGTTAGTGTGTAATAAGTGCATAATATAAAAGAAAAGATATCCATTAATCGAGAAATTGTAAAATGAAATTTGTGAAATTTTCAACTTAAAATGCAAATATCTCGAAAACTATAAGTTTCCGGCGGCAATAATTATATATATTCGAGATCTGGAGAATCTCCTCTATCCAACCATACCCCTCCTAACCCTGAAATTGTGGGATGCTAAACTAAAGTTTTCCCTAAATAAATCTTACATAGAAATAGAGCTGTTGATTTTCTGATGTTCTTATCATTAGTGTCGTCGTTAATGAATAATGGACCTGGTAGCTCTCGTGTTTATTAATATTTAACTAATAATAACTCATCAAGAAGACAATAATTACACATTTGATAGCTGATAATCTCCTTTGTCCATGTTACCGTTTAGATTGTTGAACCAGCTTAGAACGAGATTAATTTCATATGTAAACGTACTTTAAGTCTAGTTAAGGCATAAACCATCGATAGTGAAATAAATTATCGATAGTAAGATGAAAATAAAACTATCCAAAGTTCCATGTATTGTGTTGAAGCTTTAAGTTTCAACTCTTAGTTCAGTGAGGATCATTGTTGCCAAATACTTAATAATTGTATTACAATTTTGTCAAGCAGACGCTACAGTGTTCAATAGGTACATTTTGTGTTATATATATATATAATTCATAAACATGTATAGATATATTAACATTGTTTAATTATGTATGTATAAAAGTCATTGATTTCGTTAACTGTTTAGTGTAGAATTGATTCGAAATATAGTCACAAAAGTAAATATACAGAATCAAGCAAAACGTACACACGTACGCTAAATAACATCAATAAATAGCAATAATTGCCAAAGCAAAATGAAGAACGCCTATTAAAAATTGTGGTGTGGTTTCTCAACGAAAATCAATCTAACCCATAATTCCGAACTGATCTGGGTGTGGTTCAACTTTGGCTGCGATTTAGGGAAAACTTTAGAATACCGTCCCAGAGTTTAGGGAATAAAACAGGTATAGGCGGATAGAGGAGATCCTCTATATCAAGAATATAGATATAGCCGCGGAAAACTTATAGTTTTCGAGATATTTACGTTTTATTAGAATAATTTCCTAATATTTTTGGGAAAACTTTAGTATAACGTCCCACGCTTTCGGGGATAAAATGGGTATGGGCGGATAGAGGAGATCCTCCAGATCAAGAATATGTATAGATATAGCAGCGGGAAACTTATAGTTTTCGAGATATTTGGGTTTAAAGTTCAAAATTTCGACTATTTAAAGTACGCATTTTTCCCATTTCGAATGAGTTATACACTTATATTTTCCACTTTTATATCCACTAACACTTCAATAATTCGTTTGTACACATTTATTTTACATTATATAGTGCAAAAAAAGTTTAATTCAATAATTAAATTATTGTTAAATACTATTATTTCTGACAATAGCAAAAGGGTTGCAAAATTTCAAATAACCAGTGTTACCTTATCGACATCTTTTGTAATTCAGCTGAAAGAAATTAAAACAGATAATACCCCAAATACAGAAATCCAAAACCTAGAGAAATAAACTATTACAAAGCATTGATGTTAAGTATTATGTTATACCCTCTATGACAATATTACTTTTTTCTTGTAGAACTTCTTTTTGCGTTGGCGGCCTTCGGCCGCTCTTCAAAAATAAATAGTTGAAATTTAAATAGTTGAAATTTTCAACTTTAAACGTAAATATCTCGAAAACTATAAGTTTCCCGCGGCTATATCTGTATATATTCTTGATCTGGAGGATCTCCTCTATCCGCCCATATCCATTTTATCCACAAAAGCGTGGGACGTTATTTTAAAGCCGACCCATATTTTTTTTTGGGTTTTGGATATAGGGTATAATCAGTTTTCTTTGTTTCTTTCAGTTCATTTATAAAAGATGTCGGGGAAAACTTTAGTATAACTTTCCAGGCTTTTGGGGATAAAATGGGTATGGGCGGATAGAGGAGATCCTCTATATCAATAATATAGATATAGCCGCGGAAAACTTATAGTTTTCGAGATATTTGGGTTTAAAGTTCAAAATTTCGACTTTAAAGTACGCATTTTTTCGATTTCAAATGAGTGGTACACATATTTTCCACTCTTATATCCACTAACACTTCACTAATTCGTTTGTACACATTTATTTTACATTATATGATGCAAAAAAATTGTTTAATTCAATATTTAAATTATGGTTAAATTCTATTAATTCTCACAAAAACAAAAGAGTTGCTAAATGTCAAATAACTAGTGTTACCTTAACGACATCTTTTGTAATTGAACTGAAAGAAACTAAGACAGATAATACCCCAAATACTGGAATCTTAAACCTAGAGAAATAAACTATTACAAATCATTGATGTTAAGTATTATGTTATACCATCTATGACAATATTACTTTTTTCTTGTAGAACTTCATATTGCGTTGGCGGCCGTCGGACGTGCTTCAAAAAAAATAACCCTGGTCGGTCCAACACCGGGGTGTATCAAAATATTTTTTGCGCAGAACTTCTTGGTGCGTTGTTTCCTGTATCTAGGGTACAATCGCTCTGTTTATTTTATTATTCTTCGTTTACAAAATATATTAGTATGGCAACACTAATGTTTTGACATTCACAACCATTTTGCTATTATCAAAATTAATAAAATTGAAGAATGATTTAAATAAAGCTATTTTTGCAGCATCTAATATAAAAAAATTTCTAAAAACGAATTAGTCAAGTGTTAGTGGATATAAAAGTGTATAATTCATTTTAAATCGCAAAAATACATACTTTAAATAGTTGAAATTTTCAACTTTAAACGTAAATATCTCGAAAACTATAAGTTTCATGCGGCTATATCTATATATATTCTTAATCTGGAGGATCTCTTCTATCCGCCCATACCACATTTATCCCCGAAAGCCTGGGACGTTATTCTAAAGCCGACCCAAGATGTCGATAAGGTTACACTGATAATTTGTTGAAATCCAACCCTTTTGTTATTGCGTGAATTAATAGAATTTAATAATAAGTTAAATATTGAAATAAATTATTTATACTATATAATGTAAAATGAATATGTACAAACGAATTAGTGAAGTGTTAGTGGATATAAAAGTGAAAAATATTAGTAGAATTCATTGTAAATCGGAAAATACGTAAAATATTGGAATTTTTCAACTTTATACGAGAATATCTGAAAACCTAAGTTTCCCGCGGCTATATCTATATTAAAACCATCTTTTACCTACGGGCAAGATATGATATCCTCATGCTTCCTGAAAAATAGTACCAAATATATCTACTTACCTTTGACAAGCATATTTATTTTCTCCTAAACACGGTATTTTTACTTCAGTATGGAAACAGTCATTAGTCAGGTAGGCATTAGTATGGGTATGGGCGGATAGAGGATTCTCCACATCAAGAATATATATATATATATAGCCGCGGAAAACATAGTTTTTGGGATATTTACGTTTAAAGTTGAAAATTTCAACTATTTAAAAGTATGTATTTTTGCGATTTAAAATGAATTATACACTTATATTTTTCACTTTTATATCCACTAACACTTCACTAAATCGTTTTAAGACATTTTTTTTATATATGCTGCAAAAATAGCTTTATTTTAATATTTAAATCATTCTTCAATTTTATTAATTTTGACAATCACAAAAGGTTGTAAATGTCAAAACACCAGTGTTGCCAAATATTATGCAAACGAAGAAAAATTAAATAAACAGAGAGATTATACCCTAGATACAGGAACCAACGCAAAAAGAATTTCTGTGCGAAAAATTCTTGGTACACCCCGGTGTTGGATCGACCAGGGTTATTTTTTTGAAGCGCGACCGAAGGCAGCCAACGCCAAAATAAGTTGTGCGCAAAAAAAAAACCTTGTTGTTGTTGTTGTAACGGTTATCTAGTCCCCGCTTGGATGGTAAGTGATAGTTTGGTTGTCGTCGAGGTCATCTAACGGGAGGCCTAAGAAACGGGCTGTTTCGATGGGGTCGGACTATAGGGAAAAGGGTGTTAGATGAGTTGGGTTTGTTGGGCATGCAAAGAGGTAGAGTATCATGCGGGTCCTCATTGCATGCAGGACATGTGTTTGGTATATCGGGGTCTATTCTGGCGGTCAGTGCTTGTCAAAAAAAACCTTGACACACCCCGGTGTTGGATCGACCAGTATTATTTTTTTTGAACACGGCCGAAGGCCGCCAACGCAAAAAGTGGATATAAAAGTGAAAAGTACTTGAGTTTGCAAACTATGTATCATTTGGTTTTAGGAAACATAAGTATACGACTTTTAGCCAAGCTTTCGATAAAGTAAATCTCTCGACTGTCGTACATAAACTTGATCTTTTGGGCTTTCAACCAAGATTTCTTCAATGGGTATCTTTTTATCTTTATAATAAAACACAACGAAATATATTTGATGATACTTTTTCAGATTCAATTAATGTCTCTTCAGTTGTTCCGCAGGTTAGTCTATTGTCCCGATTCTGTTCTCGTTATTTATTACCGATATCTCTTCTGTAATAAAATACTCAAACATTTTATTATATGCCGACGACGCAAAGTTTTTTAAATCATATACACCAGAGGCTAAGTAAAATTTACCACTTCACATTTTGCAATTATTCTTCAAATTTCGCCGCTTAACTAATTCAATTTTGCTGAAAATTTGCAAATGGAGAATAATATTTTATTTGAAATTTTTTTTTCACTTATTTTTATACTTTTCCATAGTAAGAAAACTGAAACGATAATCCTTCTTTGAAATGGATGCGATATGTTTAATTATACATTGTGTTTTTTTTTCAATATTTTAATAATTCTTGTATATTTTTTCAATAAGTTTAATTTATAACTATTGTACTAATAGTTCTAATAACGAGTTGATCCACCCTTGGCGGCTATAACTACTTAGATCCGGGCGGGCATTGAATAACCTCGTTCGAAATTTTCTGTTCCCACACATTTTCAAGAATTTTTTTTTAGCTCTGCCTTAAAGTGCGGTTTATGTTGATCCACTTTCTTTTTCACAGTGTGTCAACGATGCTCAATCGGATTTAAATCGGGTGAATTTCCGGGCCACGTCATATGTGGTATTCCGAGGTCTTCAAACAATTTCTGCACCTGGAAGAGAAAACATAATGACAGTTAACATTATTTTGAATAGAAAGTATGCAAATGTATTGAAAATCGAAAACCATATCGAACTTACCGATTTTGCCCGATGGCATGGTGCAGAGTCATCCTGAAAGATGGCCTCGGAAATTAAGCGATCTTTCAAACTATGAATAATATTATCTGTCCTGGACGTCTTCCTCCTGTTTCCAATCCCACTCGAACGCTCCAAATGATCGTCCTGGTTTTTGACTTCAGTAAATTTATTACTGTTGGATGGCTGCATCGCACTTTTCTTGCTATCTCGCGAATCGACACTCCTTCTTTTTCCAACGTAAAAATAACCACTTTTTGGTCACGAGTCAACTGCCTATATTTAGCGCACATTATTCTAACCGTTCTTTTTATTGTAAAAGTGCTCGCGAATATATGAAGAAAATTTGTCAATATATTATATTTCAATTTCAAACCACCCAATTGCTTACCTCAGACTAAAAATTT